CAATTACCCAACTTTTTATTGTTATACTATTTGTATCGTATTTAAGTAGAGTTTCGACACTACCAGCAAATCAGTAATATGAGATGTGACAGTGCAAAATAGGAGCTTGACACCTTAACCAATCGGCTACATTGCCACGAGTGCCCTTGGGTCACAGGGCACTGTTATTTCTTACTGTGGCTACTTGTGCATTTTAATGATTGATAAATGTTGAGTTGTATAGTTGAATTTTATGGCAATAATTTTTCCTACGAATTTTATTGTTCCTTGTATTTCTAAGGTACATTCTCACCTACAGTTGATCAACTGTTCTCACTTTTTCCTCCGGAATAAGAAGGCTGCTCAAAACTTTGCCTTGTCAAGACCCAATTTCATCGCTCCAGTCCAATCCACCAAATGCATACGCATTATTCTTCATTTTTATATTATTATAAGTTTTATTGTATCCATATCCTTTCTATTATTTGACTACAGAAATTAGTTACGAATTTTCCATCAGACGAGGAATTAAGCGAAGACGGTGTGGTTCCGGCTAGTCCTATAGATCAACAAAATCCGAAGTCTAAAGCCAAGCAGCAAAAACTTAAACCCGATTGTTTGAAAGAAGGTAATCCATTATTGGTCTCGATTCTAAACTTCATGCTTGATATATGCAAGTAAAATTGATTCATTTAAAATAAAAATGTGGTAAAATACGATTCATTTGTCAACTGAAACTTCCGTTTCTTGTCTTTATCTTCTTCATCTTAAAGCGCATTAATTCTTTTACGTTTAGATCCTCAAAGGCTTAAGAACCACGACTCAAGGAATTGTAAAATACTTTCAAAATCGAATGAGATGTCAAAGTATCGAAAACTTAAACGTCCTTTGACATCTGAAGAAGAGTCCATTGCTCAGCTATTAATTCACTCAAGAAAGAGTCGTCGTGAAGTGATAGAGTCAGGTTTTAATCGTCATCGCTTCTTCGATAACCGAGAAGATTTGCCCGATTGGTTTGTTCACGATGAGAAGAAGCATTGCAGGATGACTCTGCCAGGACTGCCAGTACGTCTATTGATAGTATATATATATATATATATATATGCTACTATAAATAATGTACCATATTTATATGAGTGTGACCCTACTCAAAATAAAGTGAAGTGCCTAATTTGCCTTAATGCTGCCTAGGAAATAAGGATCTCTTTAAATACATAGGCAAGTAATTTAATCGCAGAAATAATTCTTCTCTATTAGGTTTGAGTAGAATTGCTGTCATTATCTAGAATACTATATCAATAGTAGCATGAAAATTCCAAATTATTAGTAAATTTTGCTTTCAATTTCGAGCCAAATAAACTGCTATGATTACCTTTTTCCATTGTTTTTTTAATATCTCACCATCTGAATCTTTCTATTATCCAGGAAGCACCTGTCATTCACAAAGCCTTGACACCTAGTGCTACTTTGATGGGGCGAACTCTCAAAAAGACAGAAGAGGCTAAAGCACGCAGGAAAGCTCGTATAGCTAAACGCCTTAAGCGTGTTCGTCAACGCACCGAAGACATTCCTGATGATTTGCCCGAAAAAGAGAAATGGATGCAGATCAAACAGTAAGATTAGCTTGCCAATTCTTATCAGTCTCTGATTCCAAATTTATTTTATTTTATGTTTGTAAAATAACCTGATGATGTGCCAGGGTTTAATTGGTTTGTTAGCTTGTGTCTCCTTTAAGATTTAGCTCTTTATTATTATCCATTCGATTCTCCTGGTCTTCACACCAGTTGTCTATTCTATTGCTCCATAAGCTATTTTAACATGTAGCGGGTGGCAGTTACAAAATCTAGAAAAAAATTTTTAACATTTATTTGTGCTATTTTATGCTCTATCCACTAGAATGTACAAAAAGGCTGGCTTGTTAGGAAAGAAAAAGCGCCCCTTCCACTTGGTAGTCAACAGAAAAGGCGGGGCTCGCAATCGGGCACCGCCACCGAAGGGAGCTAGGATCAAGCTTGTGGACCGACGTATGAAGGCTGATATTCGAGGCCGTGCTAGATCTGATGGACCTGTCAAAAGTCGGGCCAGTCGTAAAGGAAAAGCTGGCAAGAAAAATGGGCGGAAGAACCCCTCGCGAGGCCATTCTCGATCTGGTCTTTCGGGGCACAGTAAAGCATAATGTATGGGCCTTTCTTGCACTAGGCTCTTCATACAAAACTTTGCTCTAAGAGCG